TCTTGTAGCAAAACGCTAAAATAGCGGCTACAGCTATTCTAATAACGCTATTGTAGTAAACGCTAAAACAGCGGCTACAGCTATTCTAATAACGCTATTGTAGCAAAACGCTAAAATAGCAGCTACAGCTATTCTAATAACGCTATTGTAGCAAACGCTAAAACAGCGGCTACAGCTATTCTAATAACGCTATTGTAGCAAAACGCTAAAATAGCAGCTACAGCTATTCTAATAACGCTATTGTAGCAAACGCTAAAGCAGCGGCTACAGCTATTCTAATAACGCTATTGTAGCAAAACGCTAAAATAGCAGCTACAGCTATTCTAATAACGCTATTGTAACAAACGCTAAAACAGCGGCTACAGCTATTCAAATAACGCTATTATAGCGATTGACTATGACTATTAAAACCAGCTAATGGCCGCTATTCTAGCGCTTTTCTAAGATAATGTTATTAGAATAGCTGTGGCCGCTATTTTAGCGCTTTGCTACAATAGCTTTATTAGAATAGCTGTAGCCGCTATTTTATTGTTATCACGTATTGAACTATGTATTAACTTTAAGGTTAAGTTGAGGGCTGTTATTAGTTTTAAACGATGTATTTACTTTAGGGTTAGGTTAAGGTCAGGTATTAGTTATCAACAATGTAGGCCTATTAACTTTAGGGTAAGGTTGAGGACTGGTATTAGTTTTTAACAATGTATTGACTTTAGGGTTAGGTTAAGGGCAGGTATTAGTTATTAACAATGTATTGACATTAAGGTTAGGTTAAGGGCTGGTTTTAGTTATTAACAATGCATTGACTTTAAGGTTAGGTTAAGGGCAGGTATTAGTTATTAACAATGTATTGACTTTAAGGTTAGGTTAAGGGCAGGTATTAGTTATTAACAATGTATTATCTTTAAGGTTAGGTTGAGGGCTGGTATTAGTTATTAACAATGTATTATCTTTAGGAATTTTAGGTTGTAACATTGCGGTTAAGCAATGTTACGAAAGCACAGGCACAGGCATGTAGGCGTAACCTCTAGTGATAGAGCAATGTTTGTGAAGTTAGTTTAAAAGAATGATATAGAATATTTGAGAAGTAAATATATAAGAAGAATACTGTTTCCAACAGGAACATTAATAACCATGGAAATCATAATAAACATTTTCACTGGTGAAACTGAGGAATTGTCCTATATTAAATGAAAAGGAAAATGCATATTTCATATAAAAAATATATATAATTTATTAAGTGAAAATAGTATACATGTATGATTTTTTTGCGAGGAAACTCTTCAATTGTAAGTTATCAGAGCTGGTATTAATTTTTAACAATGTATTAACTTAAGGGTTAGGCTGAGGGCAGGTATTAGTTATGAACAATGTATTAACTTTAGGGTTAGGTTGAGGGCTGGTATTAGTTATGAACAATGTATTAACTTTAGGGTTAGGTTGAGGGTTGGTATTAGTTATTAACAATGAATTAACTTTAGGGTTAGGTTGAGGGCTGATATTAGTTATGAACAATGTATTAACAATGTTAGGTTGAGGGTTGGCTTATAGAAAAGCGCTAAAATAGCGGCTATTAGCTACTATAAAAATGATCAGAACCGAAAAACGAGAAAACGCTAAAATAGCGGCTACAGCTATTCTAATAACGGTATTTTAGAAAAGCGCTAAAATAGCGGCTACAGCTATTCTAATAACGGTATTTTAGAAAAGCGCTAGTATAAAATAGCTAGTATAAAAATGACCATAATCAAAATACGAGAAAAGCGCTAAAATAGTGGCTACAGCTATTCTACACGGCCTATTTTAGAAAGCGCTAACAATCGCCAAATCACATCTGAGTTTAGCGAGATTTTTGCTAAAATAGCAATGAAGCCAAAGAATAAAATCTGACAAAATAGCTACTTGACTCGGTCTCGGCCGAGTAGCATTGGATGTCAGTCCTAGTTTAATAGTCTCATTCATAAACTTACTGAACCAATTCATCTTCACATGTGACGCAGGCGAGAAACCACAAGTGATAAAACTATCTAACACGAGACTGAAAAATCTATAAGAAGCCACGAATTGAACAATCGGGTTTTGTTGGGTTTCAAGTCATTTAACTGGTAACATGGAGAATGAACCATCGGAAGTTGTGGTAATGTTTAGCATACAGCGAAAACTTAGTCTAACTTTTTCAGAAAGATACCTTAACATCATGCAAAATATTTCAAGAACAACAGCTCTGAGTTCTTTCCCAGTCCTACGTAATGCAGTTGTACAGACATCGCGTAAGAGTAAAATCAATCTGCCGAAGATTCAAATATCCAAAAGAAAACAGATATCAAGAAAATCACAGCAATGTCAAAAGAAGAAATGTTACTCATCAGCAACAAAAAAGGTAATTATATTAAATTTAGTTATACTGATTTTTGCTTGAAATACCTGTAAATAAGTCTATATCTTATCCTAGTAAAGATTAGGCTTAGGCCTACAGTGTTGCTCGCTGTGACCCACGTGATTATTAAAGGTGTTTGCATTAGTGATGAATAATGTGAGGTGGGTGGTCAGCAATGGCAATGAACACCCGCATAATCAAGCATATCATATCTTTATAAAGATTACAAAAATTGAAATTGCAATAAAAAGTAACATTTGCCAATCGCCATTCAATATGAATAGGTCTCTACAGTAGATATAACTATTTATTAAGAAAATAGATCTGTTTGTCTACACCAGTGGAATCGTATCAACAAATTTGGAATCTGGTAAATTGTGTAAACCTGTTTTGATTATTACTAAGTTTTTTCATGTAAAACATGCTGGAAATATGGATATATTTGAAACGTACCAATGGAATATAATAGAATATTTCAGGTATGACTTTTAGAAAGGGAATTAGGTCTGGTGTTTGTGAAATATAAATTGGAAATGTTTATATTTTTTTATTTAAGTCTATGAACAAACCCATATAATTTCATTGCTTTCGTTTAAAGATGGGTTTCCTTATTTTTTAGTTTAAGATTAAGCAAACTATTTGATCAATATTGGTGTTTCTATTGAATTATCGTGTATACTGAATCATATCATTATGTTCTTATTGCATATAATAAGAGTTTTAACCAATCATTAATGTCCATGTAAGTAAGTAAGTCTGGATAAACACAAAAAGACTTTTTGACCCTTTTTGTTACTCATTGGAATTCTGCTGGTCATTATTTTCTAATTTAGTTGATTATAAATCAATTATGGAAATTTGAGACGATCTGGTATTTTTCTAAGTTATTAGAACACCTTTACTTTCTATTTACATAAGTATTAGCATTTTCATTTTCATAAATAAAAATATGGGAGGGAGGTGGTGGGGATATCTGCAAATTTCTCTCACATGGTGTAACTTCACCCTTCTTCGACCACGAACAAAAAAAACATTTCGTGAGATCATATTATTCAGTAGAATTTTCGTGGTTAAGACGTGGGCAGAGGAAGCGAATCGAAACGTAACCACGCAAATTTCAGTATTATATGATCTAAACTAACGGTATATTTGCTGATTGGTTGAAAAATGTAAGATTTGAACGACATATAGAAGCGAGATGTGCCCTACCTTATTAAAGAAATGTGTTATATTCCATAATATTGTCTTGTGTTTTGTTATATTGGTTGAAAAATGGGTATTATTTATCTATAGGATGGATATCTTGATTGTATCCTTTTATTATATCCTTTTCTTTATGTTTTTTTTATGGTTTTGGACCAATAAAAGGTTATATGCAATTAATGTTTAATATTTTAAGGGTATATATTATACAAAAGCTAAAATGTTGTTACATCATACTGAAAAATAGTTGACCATTTTCATATTCACTTTATATTAATCTAATATTTTAGATTCCCGAGAGCACGTCGTCGCAAGCCCAAAGTTCGACTTCACCAACTGCCCAATTTCAATCCAACACTCACGCTACTTCATCTGGTCAAGTTAAGATAACATCAACTATAACATCTTCTGGCCTTTATCATTCAGCATACTACGGAACCCCTCATCTACGTCACAGACCACCAACTGGTTATACGCATCTTACTCCTGGCAGTTCCTCAATAATTACACATACTCCCTTTCAACCATCTTTAATATCACCTATATCATCAACGAGTACAAGTTTTGAAATCCCTCCAATAGAATCTAGTCGTTATGAACCTACCAGCGATAAACCCCTGTATCAAGAACAGTCTGGATCTAGAAATAAAAAAACACCGAATCCGTTACCACGTCATAAAAGAGAATCTCATATCAATGCCGAGTACAGACGAAGAAGTAAGATATCAGTAAGTAATAGGGCTACTTCCGAAGAAAACAGACAGTTGTAACTTGACTGAATGAAAGTCGAAAGTTTTGCTTATTCCCTGAATTAACAAAACTGTGGATTATGGCATTTGGTAAAAAGAGACGATTTCTCTCGCCCTTTCTAAGGACCCGTATAACCCATTTATTGGTGTACGTATACAAGACGAAGTTCCTAAAACATATAACCTTTGCCCTATATTTCAGAACGGTTTTGAGGCATTAAAAAATATTGTCCCGTCTTTAAGAGATAATCAACCTAGCGCACACCAAAAAGAGAGCAAATCAGCCATGTTAAATGCAGGTAAGAAATATCGGATAGACAGGCAGACGTGCACAACTTTAAGAATAAGTTGTTTTGTTTTGTTGTTGTTGTGTCGTTGGAGTGGATGAGTTCTCATTCATTCCATAGCTGTTGAACTTTGAGGAATAATCTTACATTCCTCAAGCATTATAGAAAATCGAGCGATTCTCACTTTCCAGTTGGTGAGGATGGTCTGATTGGGTGGTTTATAATATGGGAGGTCAGTGGGGATTTGTCAACTTGCTGACGGACCATGGACATCAACTGAATTCTGATGTAAAGTCCTTATAGAATATAGATGATATCCCCTATGTTTGAACAAAATAAGTTCCATAATAATACCACAACATTGCAAACATTGATTGATTATTTTTTATGTATTCAGCTGCCGAATATATTCGGGAACTTAAAATATCTTGTGACCAAAATGAGAGAACGGAACAAAGACTGCGACAAGAAATATTTGAACTTGATAGTGAGATTCAGTAAGTATAAAAATTCTCTATTTACTACACTCTAACGATGCAAGAAAGTGTCGTACTCGTATCAATGAAGTTTTTTCAGTTGTTCATTTTGATTGTAGGTGCTGTCAAAAGGGACTTCCGGTCGGCGGTGTTCCTACTGTAGACAACCCCGAAGTGCACTTACAAACTCTATTCAGAGATTATTTACATGATAGAATTAATCAAAACTGGAAATTCTGGATTGTATCCTTTTGTTATATTAGCATTTTTTCCAAATTTTCTTTTTGTTTTTGTACCAATAAAAGGTTATTTGCTTCGTTGGAAAAAGAAGTATCAGGTCATCATGAATATATGCAGACTTTGCTATGTTTGGACAGAAAACGAGATTTTTTATTTTATTGATAATAAAACAGAAATAAGCAATATAATCTCTCTTTTCTTCGTCTTATCTTATATTTCTTTACATTTATGAACAGTTCAGCTTTTTGGTCCGACCATTGTTTATAAGTTTCACACAAATGGTTACTTCATCCTCATTTCCAGCATTCCTTCATTCCGTGAAGAAATGGGGTGATGAGAAACTTCCGTTGAATGAATTGAGAATAAGTAAGACAAGTTTTCATCGTTTCATCAAGAAAACCTCAAATATTCCCAGAAATAATCAAATCGTGATGAATAATCACACATGGAAAGTTCTTGTTGTTCTCAACCTCATTCTCGGTGCACTAATACAGACAGATCGTGCGTTTCTGAAGAGTTCAAATATATATTGAAAACATCTTTCATTTCAAAATTAAATATGACTGTTCAAAAGATCAAAATATAATCAACATTTTCATTTTTAGAAGTGATAGAATTATTGAAATATATCAGTACCAATACATCAGTAATGTCAACACCAGATCGACTTCCACTAGATGCCATCACCAATTTCCAGAAGTGGCAAGACTAGATCCTCACTTGATCCTAATACATGTATTATAATTAAAACGTTTATTCTTAAATCGTTTCAATTCATGCTATGGTTTAATTAAAGCTGCGATTGCATGTGTACGCAAACTCAAACTTTCTGAGCCGTTTGTTGCGCTTACGAGGTGTTTACTTTGAGTTTGAGGACTCGTGTTAGCAGAAAATTGGTTTGTTAAGGATTTGAATAGGATTTGCTCTGGTCCGGGTTTTTTTTATTGAGTTTGCGTTTTAGTTTGAAAACACAAGTAATCACAGCTTAACTCTCAACCTATGGGCCTATTGTACAATTGTGCGCATTATGTATTGTTCACAAAAATGTTGATATATATAAAATTTATCCTACTGTATTATTTTATCAAATAAAAAAGTTTGAAATGCATTGTTTATAAAGGATAATCTCAACTATATTTTACATGGCTGTAGGCAGAACGTGATTCATCTACCTCTAAGAATCTATTTAAGCCTTTTGACATGGTCTTCCTACACCCATTACTCCTAGCCTAGCCTTCTACGAATCATAATCTAAATCTGTTTTTACAACTAAAGAAAATACAAACCCACAGGCACAGTTTCAGATTTGATAGTGGTGTGGCCGTTGGTGTCATGCCTTATGGTTATTAAATTGAGGTGTTGAGCTGGACTTCCAGTCAACTTCTTCTTGGTCTAGAAAGAGTTGGAGATAGGAAGGCACTAGACCTATATAGGTAGGACCTGGGTTATTGATAAGAATATTATCTTGAAGCAGGCGAAAGTATAGCCATTTTATAAACCTGGCAATGAAAGTTTGGCAAGCAATTACAGACCTATATCAATTCTACATGCTGTCTCTGAACCACTTGAAAAACATTTTGATTTCCATATCAAAAACCATTTAACTACTACTTCTACTAACCTTTTATATTCAAAACAATCTGGCTTTAGATCAAATACTTCCTGCCACACAGCACTCACCAATATAACAGAAAATATCTATGATTCACCCAATAATAGCATGCTTACTGGATTAATATTTTTTGATTTTCGTAAAGCTTTTGACATGGTAAATCATGATATTCTTTTACAAAAATTAAAACTTTTTCGAATAATCTTCTGGTTTTTTCTATCTCCATAACGGAAACCAATGTACCTCACTTGGACAAAACCAACGACATTTCAATGTATAACTTCTTGTGTACCTCAAGGATCTATTATTCAATCTTTTTTATTGTGTGTTTTTTTTGGATCAAAATTTTTATTGAAAAAACATGTTAATTATATTTGTAAAATTTTGAATAAAAAATGAAAAATAAAACCTCTCCTTCTTTCAAACCTTCTTAGATTATTCTGTTTCGCTCATTGATTACTACTCAAGCATTTGGGATACTTGTAATAATTATTCTTCAGCAGCCCTTGGCTTTTAGGCTTATTAATAATAAAGCAGTGCTTTTCTTCTGTTATCTTCCCATCATTGAATATTCTTACAGTTCAAAAACGCCATTTGGTCAATAAATACGTTTTTCTCTTTAAAATAGCAAATTGTAATTGTCCACTTTATCTACAAAATATTCTTCAATATGAAAACACACCACATGCATCCATTAACCAGAGATTCCTTATTCAAAAACCTATTAAATCTATATATAGGAATAGCTTGAAATATAAAGGCCCTTGTTTATGGAACTCTTTACCTCGATCCTTAAAGAAAATCAATGTTTTGGCAAAATTTGAAAAGACAACTCTTCAGATGAATGATAAATATATATAACTGTTAGTAGTTTTACTGCTTTTGTGATTGTAGTTTTGTTATTTTTAGTTCCTTTTGTATTATAATTATGTTGCAAATTTGTAAAAAGGCCAGGTCTAATTTTCATCCTAATAAAGATTTAAATATTATTTTTATTATATGCAGGCTAATAGAAGGGAGACAACTACACTTAAGATGCCATTGAAAAGTGCAGTGTTTGGAAAAGGGGAAAGAAAATAATGATCGATGGTCCCGAGAGTTATTTTAAGATTTGTAGGCTACGTAAAGTAATATTATAAAAAGACCATGAGAGACCAAAAAGAGCAAATTGTAATGTGTTAAAATTACTGTGGTCCGAGTTTAAAACTATCTATAATGAGTTGTCTCCCTCAGACAAGATGGCTGCCAAGTTAAAGCGAAGATGAACCACTGACAGATATAGATGGGAAATATGTGTGATATTTTGATATTACTACTTTAATGACGGACAGTTTTGTGATTTCTACGTTTCTGTGATGTTTCCCTCCATACAGCGTAGGCAATATGGGTTTGAGAGGAAGTCAAAACTGTTTGATATTGCAAGTAAGAAACTATGTTTATATTGTAAACAAAATCTTTTAAATTTTGATGATCTATAAGTATAACCTGATTCTAGCTCGCAAATGCCAGCATGACAGCTGCACTACATCAGTCTAGCCATTATATAGACTACTCTGCAAAGTTTCTTCAAGATTTTTATGTAATGGACTGTACAAGGTAGGTAATCATAACCCTGTAAAAACTAAATTAAAAACATGTCAAAATTCTTAATTTAATGGGTTATCTTTTCATCATAGAAGTATAGGCTTATTCTTGCTTTGATTGGTTATTATTTATGATAATGGGTAGATTTGAGAAAATGTAAATTTGACATATAATCGATTGTGAAATTTGATCATTGATAATTGAAATTATGAATTCCTACAGACGATTTTTGATTATCTCTATCTCTTTACCCAGTCCTAATAATAGTACTAGTAGGCTGCTAAGCATTACCACTTGTCCGGTAGATTATGCTAAATGAAAGAGTGCTTTTTTTTTGGCATTATGGGTTTATTTTTGTTGCTTAAATTTTTATTTAAAGTTTTCCAATTGAAATATTAGCATATTAATAGAAGTAGGTGTGTAAATAAAAACTTACTTATTAGACCTATAAGCTTACTACGGTCAAAGTGATAGACATACATCAACACTACTATCAAGGCTACTCAGGCTGTAACGACTTGTCAATCGGTTCTTCTTACAC